AGCTGCCCAAGTTGCTTCCATCATCTACCGATTGTCGTCGCCAAAAGATGTGTCTTTCAACATCACTTGGCTTTCGGTAGGTCAGCAAACCCTGGCATAGAAACCTTAGTGAGTAGTAGGCACCAGCAGTCTAACCACCAAGTGTTCTAGGTACTGGAAGCCTAAGATTAACGCTCAGAAACAGACCAAAGGGCAAGCGAAGCGTACCCTTATTATCCAACGCCAGGCGTGATATTTTTTGTAACAGTCCTTCTTTAGCATGTCCAGGCTTCTTACAGATAAGAAACAACCCTGCCATTATCCTTATGTTGTTTCTTCTCAACTGGACCCTTAGCCAGAACTTCCTTATCATTCTTCCTTTTCTTGCCCTATCGCTTAGCGGCATAGTCCAAATGAGCACTTTCTGTCTATCTTTGCTTCAACCATGTCTTTCTTCTTGCACACAATATGAAATGAGCTCATTTAGAGTCCATTTCTCCTTTGACAGTTATTAACTGACCTTAATATTGGTTAAACTGTGCAGGAAGCAGCAACAAAACAGAAGCAGCTAATAACTCGTGCACCAAAAAAGCATCGAGTTATAAGTGCCTTAAGCCTTTGAAGCCAATTGAGACATTTCCATAATGTACTCCCTGATATTTCCTTGCCCTTATACTTTCATTGAATCCAACCGATGCTAAAAAGCTGTGCTTTTTCTACCATTATCGTTTCGCACACGCTTCTCAATTTCGGGCAAAGAAATCTTTAGCCTACTAGTAATCCCTTCAGGATTCTATGCCCCTGAGAGGCCCTTCCGGAGCGCACGCCGCTTAATGATCATAAACTCATGCGATTGAAACGCTCCCACTTCTCATGCTCCTTCTTTGGCATTCAGGAGTGCTATCCGCATTGAGAGGTTGGGGTTGTTCAGTCTTAATGCATAGTCGAAGATCCATGCCAGCCAAGAACAATTAATATGTTCTCTTTCCAAACCTTGAAGTTTTGTCCATTTAGCATGGGAATTGGAAGTTGATGTAGCAGAAATGTTGGCAGGAGATGGCATTAGCTGCAAATAAAACAAAGAATTGCCACACATAACAATAAAACAATTAATAATTAAATAATGGACAATCTCCATCCAAGATATCGCGACAACATTAATATCAAGTCTTTGCCGACAGTAATATTAACTGTAAGTGATACCTTGTTGCAAGATGCACAACATTGACAATAACATCATGCTCAAAATGAATTCGAAAACTATCTTGGAGTCGATTCATTATTCACATGTAAACCTTATAATTGTCACAACGCTTATCATCGCCAGCATGTGGATATGCAGTCTAAATAAATATTAACCTTCCTTGCCGTTATTTCACGGGCATAAGCAATCTACAACATATACACCAATCATCGTACAACATCCCGAAAAAATAATGCAAATCATCACAACTCACAAACATGACAACCAAGGGAACATCTCACAATTCCTCATGAAAATCTACACAAGAGCAGTTACTTTTGCAACTTCTTGTTTCAATTAAATCAATGGAGTGCAGAGACTAACCTTAATACGCTTAGTGTCATAATATTCGTGAATTAAAAAATGATTAAAAACCGGCAATTAGATGTAATTAAATTTTAAATCAACTGAATTATCTCAAAAACTTAATTGGGGTCTCACAGCTTAACTAGGGCCATATAACTTAATGAATAAATTAAGTATACCAAAGTGGACCCATGAAAAGCCGAGGCTTAACCATAATGAACACGAAGTTCCCTTAACTTCGAACGCGAGGTTCGACTGTATTGAGTACGAGACTCACTTAAGCACGAACGCGAGGTTCGTCTGAAAATGAACGAACGCGAGGTTCATTTGATAAAAGAACGCGAGGTTCAACTTGGGAACGAACCGCGAGGTTCGTTAAAAAAAATGAACACGGGGTTCGTCTGAAGTTTGCGACGCGAGGTTCGTCGATCGGTGAGTACGAACGCAGAGGTTTCGTCTGAAGTCGAACGCGGGTTCGTCTGAAGAGTTCGAACGGGGCGAGGTTCGTCTGAAGTACGAACCGCGAGTTCGTCTGAAGTACGAACGCGAGTTCGTCTGAAGTACTGAACGCGAGGTTGTCTGAAGTTCGAACGCGAGGTTCGTCTGAAGTACGAACGCGAGGTTCGTTAAAATTGAGCTTGACGCTCCACTGAGTTGAACGCGAGGTTCACCTTAGAACAACGCGAGGTTCGTTAAAATTGAGCTGACGCTCACGCTGAGTTGAACGCGAGGTTCACTTTAGAACGAACGCGGGGTTGTTAAAATTGAGCTTGACGGCTCACACTGAGTTGAACGCGAGTTCACCTAGAACGAAACGCGAGGTTCGTTAAAATTGAGCTTGACGCTCTCACCCTAACTGAGTTGAACGCGAGGTTCACTTTAGAACGAACGCGAGGTTCGTTAAAATTGAGCTTAACGTCACCTGAGTTGAACGCGAGGTTCACCTTAGAACGAACGCGAGGTTCGTTGAGCGCGAAGCTCGTTAAATTGAACGAACGCGAGGTTCGTTTGAGGTAACCACCTCCTTAATTTCCGCGCACGTTTTCACGCATGAACCCTTAGGGTTTCAAATTGAAACCGCCGCCGACAAACCCAAAAAACCTTTGATTTTTATTTTCAAAACAGATCCAAAAATTGGAAAAATTTGAAGAAAAAATCAAAGAAAAATCCAAAAAATTCCAAAAATTTACTGTTCACCGGCGATTTTTCAGTTGCTGTTCATCCGAAAAAATACTTTACTGTTCACCCGAAAAAAAAAATTCGCTGCTGCTCACCGAACATTACTGTTCATCCGAACCCAAAAAATTGAATCTTTAACCAGAGATTTAAGATCAAAAAACCCAATAAAACTTAAATCCCTAAGAATTAATCAAGGTGGCTCTGATACCACTTGTTAGATCTACATCATAAAACTTGAGATCTAAAACCATATAGCCATGATTAATTCAAAGAGATTAACAATAAACAAAAGAGCGGAAGCTTATACCTGAATCCATAGATTGATCTTGATTTTGGGTTTTGGATCTTCTAACCTTTGGGTTTCTCTAAAACCGAATTTCTCTATCTAGATGGGGGTGTAGAGAATTAGAGAATGTAACCCTAGGTTAGGGACCATAACCCCTTATTTATAGATGTTGTACTTTTATAATTTAGCCCCTCAATAAATCACAATTACAACCTGGTATCTGCACATATAACCCCATGACTTATTTAAATACCAAATTAATCCAACTTAATTGATCACTTTAGTGGGTTATCCTGAAAGATAGCAATACACATTGATTAATCATATGTGCCCACAAATAGATTTATTAGATTAAATCCAACAAATTGTCTTTCGATTCGAACCATGCTTCGTGCGTTTTATCCTTGTGTAACTCATAGGGAACACTTGAGAATTTGCGACGATCCATTTTTACTCTGCTCCTGTCACCTCCTGCAGTTTGTATTTCAACCAAAAAAAAAAAGAAAAAAAAAACACTGGTTTCATAACATCTACTGGCCTTGTCCTAAAGTGTAGGAGACCGCCTTATCGAGAGATCCAAAAAAGGCTTTACTTCCTCTAAGTTGCTCGTTCGTTTCCTTCTTAGTTTCAGTTTTTCAAAAATCGTTACCGATTATTTTTCCCTCTCCATTAATTTGTTGCAATGTCTTCTGGGAACTGCTGAAAACAATCACATTCTCATTTTCTTTTGCCCTTATGTTAAGCTGTTCAAAGTTCGTGCGTGCCATGATCATTGACTTGCTTGTTTTTTGTTATGCTATCATAAAATAACCCACCACCAGTTATTAACATTTAATAGGCTTCCTTCTTCCAGTTGTACTCTGTATGTTGCTTGATGTGCTCAAAATCAGTAATGATTCTTTAATTTCTACACCCATGCTGATGTCTTGGTAGCTAATGATCAGAAAACAAGTTTTCAAATTGAACCTCTGATGTTATAAAACAAATATGAAATTAAGCGTGAGAGACTACCTAAAGAAAAACTTTAAACAACTTGATTTTTGGTCTTTAAACATTTTAAATGATGTAGATTAACTTACGTATATTGGACGTTAGTTTTAGACCCATGCGATGCATAGATTTTCTTAGTTGAAGTTCTTTTTTTTTCCGTCGGAAAACAAATTAACATAAAAAACTTTTAAAGTTATATATATATATATATATAAAATATAGGGTATCAAACAGTAGGTTGAATGGTGGAACAGCTGACGTAAACCACTATGAACAAAATGACTCCTGTAAATTTATGATTAAATGTTGCAGAAAATAAGCAAAATCAGGTGAGTATAAGTTTCACCAACAACAGAGCAAATTCTTTCCGGTCTGCTGTAGCAAAAGTAATGCAACAAAATCATATGCCATCATATTTTTCAAAGTGTTAATCTCAAAAAATATATATATATATAAAAATAAAAAGTAAAAAAAAACAGTTTTCAAAAACAATTTTGTGATAGTGTGTTATTTTTAGTTTATTCATATTTTTGTCACATCGTCCACTAATAGCCCATAGGCTACCGTGAAGTTCATTCGATAACATATGTTGGATAACTTTTGAATATATAAATAAAATAATTTACCTTCTTTATTTGCTCAAATTTTTAATTAGTATTTAATGTGATGTGAGGAAATACTTTTCTAAATAAAAATCTTTTTTACGTTAAAATATCAAATCAATTGTATTTTGATTTTACATCTTTGAATTTTTGTATTTTTTCGATTGTACTCTCAAAAATATTTAATTTATTGAAGGGCCTAAATTAAAGTAACAAAGGCGTGCATAGAGTATAATTTAAAAAAAGTATCAAAAATTTTGACAGTTTCAGTACCAAGCTTGTAAGACTCATAATTAATATCAAGCTTGTACAAAAGTTTAAAAATAATATTTGTTGGATGGCATAATGGAACTGTAACCTGTACAAAGTTTAAATAAACAGAATCCAGTAACAGGAGAGAACTGCTCCATAGAAAGAAATAAATCTTGCAACAAGCACTCCTAAAGCTTCATTTATGAAAAAAAAAATTGAATATAAATGTTGGAGAAAAGATTAACCTCATACAGGAAAAAGAATAAGAAAACGAAATGAGCATATAGAACGCTCGCTTTTTTTTTTCGACAATCAAAACCTAGGACAAGCACAATAAACTCCAGAGAGAAAATACCACTGCAAACTTTTTGAGAGAGAAAAAAAAAATTATTGCTTTTTACCAAATACAGACACTCACACTTCCACACGAGGGCAGAGATACCGCGAACTCAGCATCTTTTCTTCACCGATATACGTAGGTGATGACGCGCTCAGAAAATCGAAAATCTAGCGCCATTTCCTGTGGAAAACAAGCTGTACTCTTCTATTTCCGTATCCACCTTTGAACAAGAAATATCGGCATGAGATGAAACTGATTTCAGTGCCGTTCTTCCGGTACTTTCCTCTGTGGCTCCTACAGTTGGGCCACCGAAATGAAACAAAGAGAAGGATGAACTGCTGCCACGAGGTCTAGAAGCATTCCCTTTAATCCCATTTTGCCCATTTGGTGGTAGTTTCGAAGGCATACGCCGGTCTCGAAATTGCCGTTCGGTTGATACTGGCTCCTCAGCAGTGAGATTCCTGAACTGCTCTTTGGGGTTTGTAACGTAAAACCTGTTGCTATTCTGATACAGGGAATGGTGTCGTGCAGTAAATAGAGGAGTAGTTATACTCTGAAGGGGATTATACTGCATGCCAAACTCTGAAGAATGAGGCGCTGGTAAACTGTAGCCGAGGGGGTTTGCGGGGTAAACAAAGTGGTTGGGCTGAGGGAATGGCATCAATCCATTGGGAGAAGCTTGCCAAGAAAATGCACTTTGGTTGTGATACCCGGTGGATGGAGAAGAGAAAACAGGCATATGATTGTTCTGATTATGCATTGGCAGGCTGTGCTGCTGCTGTGGAGGAGGTGTATTGAATCGGAAAACCCCATTATCAGAAACGGGAGCAGATGTTCTGGGTTCATCTCTTGGAAAATTGGTTACATAGTCGGCGACTTCAGATTCTGCACTCGTCCTCGTGAAAGAACTGCCTCCATTTATCCAACACTTGTTGAGTGAATCATCATCTCTTCCTTCTGATTGTGGACTAGCATCCTCAGAATCTGAAGTCGACGAAGATTCAGTGTTTTTACCCGAAGAACTGGTGCTGATGTCTCCCTCACTGAGGCATGATGAGCAGTTGTCAGAACTTGAAGAACTCATTGTGGGATCAACACAACTATTGTTCATGGAAAAGGATGATACTGCACCATCCTTTGAGTAGCATTCTGACTTCATCACCGTAACAAATCCAGTACTAGAAGAATTTTTGCTATCCTCACAGTCCTCATAACCACTACTCAAAGTATCAGCTTTCGGAGATGAGTGCTCAGTGTCAGCTTTACCTAATTGAATTTCTTCACATTGATTGGCCACAACAGCAGCTCTGGAAGTAACATCTGACCCAGGATTGCTCCTGGTGCCCTTCCTCCGAGAATCCATAGGCTCCCATACTTGCCTTGTATGGATAATATCTCTGCTAGGACTACTAGAAGAAAGCTTTCCTCTCGGTGGGGCACAACTATCAGGAGTGAAACATCCATGACCATACTTACTACCTCGATACATAGGCCTGGGCATATCCAACATTGCCTCTGTCCTATATGTAGTCTTGATCTCCCTTACTGGTCTCATGGTAGAAATTTGAAAGCCATCCTTTTGCCTGTAATCACTGTTCTGGTTGCAGCTGCAGGACTGGGAGTCATATCTCTCACGCTGTCTGTTGCTCGAAGAGTGGTATTTCTCGCCAAACTTGGGATTGCAACTCCTAGTGTTGGTCTTCACAACCCTTTCCCTCATTGGCCTATGACCTCCATTATTCAGTCTGGAAGAATCTGTTAAAATGGTATCAGATCCATCATGATGACCGCTATCGTCATACCACTTGGGTGCTGGACCTGAAAGAGAATCCTTCTTTAATCTCATTTTCCTCCTAGATGATTTTGACTGCTCAATTATAAAAGAGCTGTTGCTGTCTTGAACACCGGTCTCTTCATCAATGTGACATTGGTGTTGTAGGCTATCACTCTTCAGGTTCTTTGTGTCAATACATCCATTTGGAGACTGCTCATCTTCCACATCAGGAGATATGGGTCTGTGGGGAGTAACAACTTCCCCAGGATCACTAACTGAATCCCCAGAGTCCAAAGTGGCAGGGGAAGAGTCATCTTGAGTACTTGTGGATGAGTCATTTGTAGATGCCGGTGAAGCAAGATGAGGAGGATTTGATTCATTTTGTTTTCTTTCCCTCTGCCTTTCTTTTCCCTTGAGTCTTTCTTTTCTTCGAAGCTTTTTCTCCCGCTCTTTTGCTTTCCTCCTCTCTCTTCGCTCCTCTTCTTCACGCTTCTCCCTTTCTTCTTCTTCGAGAAGTTTGATCTGTTGGATGATTGTCAGTATTGAAGCCCACCAACAATATTGTCATCTCACTTAAACTACTAGCAGCATATAAAAGATAAACAAGTACCTGCTTCTCTAATGTAATTATTCTCTTTGCAAGCAACATGACACGCTCCGTTTCCAGCAGTTTCAAGCACAGAAAAACAACAACTATACTATGTGCGTTTTGGCGGGCTGTACCTTCCCTGAAAGCCTTTTCGACCTGGATGCACGTTGGACCTCATGTTAAACAAGCTATCACAAAACAGAAGCAAGAAAGCCATAGCTGAGATACTTACAGCGTTAATTGTCAAATTTATGTTTCAAATTCGAGAAGCCAGAAAGTTTTATAAACCATTTCAACAACAATATACCTAGGTTAGAGGATTGCCATTTCAAGATATTTACATACAACTGAAAATGACTAGCAAGATCTTGGTTTTCCAGCTACGAATGATGCCACTCCCACATCACCTTGCCCCATAACAGCCAAGGGACTAGATCCTTAAAAAAAAGCTTTTAACAATTTTTTATAGATAGACCATCCAAGTGATACCTTTTGCCTAACGCTGATCTATAATAAAAGATTTACTGGAGAATAACATATCTCCAAGTATCACACATGCACCAGTGTTGAAATGAGAGGTTTTGACCAAAGTACCCAAATGACTCTCCTGGATAACATTCATGCAAACCCTACAATGATGAAATACACCTCTCCAACTGAGCCAATTTGCACCTAAACCAATCAATGATGTTTTGTATACTATCCTATTATTTAAGAATTCATAATCTCACCCTCCCAATTCTCTCCCTAACAGATCCTATTATTTACATGAATGTTCCCCCAACCCTAACCACCAGCCATGTGCACCCACGTGCGCACTAACACACCGCATTGCATCACATATACAAATATAAACATAGACTACAGATTTTATTATGAAAAAGAGGATAAAATTGTTCGCATCGCTTGAAGATGTGAACCACGCGCATTATATTCTTTCTAGATTTTTCTCAAGTGAACCACTATAAGGCAAAAGCACGGCATGGACAAATCTAAAGTAAATCTACTGATTAAAAAGATTTGGCAAAGTTTGTCATATATCTTTAAGACTAAATGCAAGAGTGTATACCAAAAGACCTACATGGATAACATAAGAAGATATCATGAACCACAACCTAGGGAGACACACAAGCACAAATACATATGAATGCATGCAAATGCAAGCCCCCAAACACAAGCACAACATATGGACACACAAACAAACATATGAGAATCGATAAACGCATAAAGTGTCAGGTCAAATTGTAGATTTGACAACTTTTTTTTTACAAATTATCTGCAAACAATAAGCACTAGACAATCAATCCCATCATTTCGAGCTCTGCAAGATCATTTCTCATGTGAAAAATGAGCAAAATGAAAATTGCTCTCTATTGCTTATAACGATAGCCATATCGTGGTGCAGTGAGTTTCTGAAGTTCTCTATCAATACAATTATAATGTGTAAGCTAGTTCGAAAGGATATAATTGCTGCTAATTCATAATAACTAACAAACCACGAAAGTTTTTTTTTTTTTTTTGTACATTTGTCAGGTATACAAGCTCCCTTTACTTCTTTTGATACATTATTAGATTCTATAAAATTGACTGACGAGTTATGCCTTCACATGTAACTTTGCAGCTGTTATATGAGTCCCTTCCTCCACAGCTGTCATATGAAATTAAGCATCATGTTACCATGTGTACCTCCAGAGAAACCGTATCTATAACTGCTTCCTATTAAGCATAATACATAATAAAAGTATTGCAACTTATTGATATTATAGCAGTCACGCAAAAGTATAGCGTACTAAAATGGGTGAGAAATATTTTGAACACAGAAGCATGTGGCATCTTATGGCCCACCTGTTCCTTGAATATAACAGTTGCAGCATCTAGAAGGAATTCCCTTGCAAGTTCAGGACTTTTAGCATGCTTCTGGGGACGTGAACCATCGCTATCTATATCATTTCCATCCTTGTCCAGGGCATCATCATCCTGCGAGCGTAAAGGAAAAACTTCAGAGGATATATACAATTCAATATAAACAAAAATGATCTCTTTCAAATGCTGAATCCTATATGTTGCGTAGTCTTGCATAATAGAGAAGTGAACAAGGAGAAAGGTAACAGCATTAATTTAATTTAGCCATAATCAACCCATGTTTTGCTTGTTCTACATTTTTCTTTTTCTCAATTCTTAGCACGAAAGCATATAATTTTGATAGCCTCTATCCTGTGATGTGCAGCAGATCTATGAACAATTACCTCTTCTTCCTCTGCTTCTTCAGCATGCTCAAAAAAACTTCTGATGCTTTCCCCTTTAGTTATCGTCACAAAACCATCCCCAATCATTAAACGGCGATGGACGCATGGTTGCCCCTTCAATGCATGTGCCTTCACACACAGCTCTGTGCATCGGCCATCAAGCTTCCAAGCCCTCAGTGTAATAAAGCAAGCACTTAAACCTCCCAAATCAAGTCCATTTACAAGGACCTTCCCATTCATGCCAACATCTTCAAATTCCAAAATGTCAGATTTTCCTTCTCCTGTTCCAATAGCCCATTCAAAATGATGGTAGGTTCCAACTGTGTCTATAAAGGATTGGTGCCAATCTGCCTGGACTGTGTCCTCTGATACCTGAAAGTGGTATAAAACAAATTCAGGTAGATTAATTTAATAGATAAGATCTTTAGATTCTTTATTTAAATGTTCCTAATTTGTTGTTAATGTTATTTGATTTTCTTTTAATATCAAATGATTAGACATTAGACGAATGAACAAGAGTTTCTCAGAAGTTGGACATAATGAGCCTTCAAACAAATGCGGAGGAAGAGACATCTCTACAGCCCCTTTAGATTTTAAGAAGACAGAATACTTTGTCAAGAAACCTAAATCACAAACTACAAGTTAAAATAAATGATGATACTGATAGGACTAAAGTACCTCGTATTGGAAAGCAGTATCTGCCACACAAAACCAACTTGTACAGCGAAGTTCCCTTCGCATGCGCTTTAGTTCCTTCAATTCCTTGAACTCACGAATGACATTCCGTCTGCAGTCTCTGCAAAATCTCTTGCTGTCAAACCTGTAAAATGAAGAATATTCATGACACTGTTAATAATAACAACCTACGCTTGTTAATGATAGCAGAATTTCCCCCAAAGTTGATACCTAACTGAAAGTCACACTGAAAAACTTGAAAGCAATAGCTCCATATAAACATTAATGGAACTATCCTATAGTCTATCTGTCTATGATGTTAATTTATCCGTCTCATCAAACAGTTATGTATTTCAAAACTTAATATGGTGAAATGAGACATATTGACTGCATTCTGCCAAAGAAACAATCTGATCCAACAACTATTACAACTATTGGGAGGTGTTACTCATATTTCCACTACAGTTGTTGCAAGCTTAGAGAGGACTCTTTGAGTTGAAGATTTTTCTATTTTAAGTTTCTGATATTGCAAGCTTGCAGTTTAAGTTTGAGCTTAAGTTGGAGAAAACATTATAATCCAACTCCTACGTCACCTTTTGCATAACTAGATTAGTATGAACACTATTAATTTCTAGCATTTTCTGCAGATTGTCCAAGATAAAACCTACATTTTTTCCCCTGTAGGTTTCCTTTGTTTTGCTCAAACTTCACAAACTCAGATGGAGCAGTTACTCAAATTAAGAGGTAGGAGATCATGTCGATCAATCATACTCGAAATGTCAATATATAATGGTTCATTTTCCCAACATAAAGTGGATCTAGTATGGATCAACACTCCATATTTAATGAAATCCGCAAAAAATAACTTTATAATCAACTTCTTGCATCTTGTCACCAATTTTTCTAACAAAACTAATAATGAAGAAGATTCACCTTATACAAAAGTAAGCCAGTAGGCAGGTAAGAAACCCTATCTCACAAACTCCACAACCCAATGCCACTCAACCAAGAGACAACCTTCTAAATCTCCCCGATAAAAAAAGAGAGGCTAGAAGAAGGTTGAAAATGATGTCTTGCTACTTCTCTAGGAAAGGAGATAATCTGAAATGCCAAATGATTGAATATACATAATGTCACGTCTTAGAAAATGATGTCCTTGATCCTCCTCTATTGAATCCCTCACACATTCATTTTCTCATCAACAACCATGCATTTCTTTGCTAAAATATGAACAGATTCTCCTTTGCTCTTCCACTAACTAGTTCTTCCTCCAATGCCCTCCCAACCTTTCCTAAATTTTTGAACCATCCACCTAGATGCTCTTGTGGACCCTGCAAAATCTAGCATGTGCAGGTTTCCTGATTACAAAATATCCTAATATTACAACATTGAAGGTGTTATTATGACCTCTTATCATTTTCTTAGTTAAAGATTAAGGAATGAGAATATTGCTAGCAGAATGTTGGGCAACTAAGATATTACATCCATGGAAGAGAATATAGCAAAAATAGAGAATTCCTAGGTGGATGATCAGAATTAGAATATATAAGAGATAGAGTAGGAAATTGTTGTATCCGTAAAAGATAAGAGGCTATTCAATTGAGGTTAAAGTAGAGAGAAATTATTGATATAGTTTTTTCTTGTGTAATGAAGACCAGCAACTGTGTCAGTCAGAAAAGGCAGCAGGACTGTGGTTAATAGCGCCAAAAGGGGTAGAGCACGCCTAAGCAAACATGGACAAAAGAAAATAGAGCAATATATGTTAAATCAGCTGAAGAGATGAATGTATAATAAATCTAAATCAGAAAAGGATTCGGTAACATAACCAACGAGTTCGAAATAGGCTTTCTTGTTGCTATTGTTGCTGACGGTCATACTTAGCAACACTGCACTCCAATTATCATGAACTAAGTTATATATGGCATTCTCTCGGACACTCTATATACTTTCTACTGTAGTATAATCAGAAAAAGTATCCGAATCAGAAAAGGTATCCTTTGCATTAGCAGATTAGCCTATTAGTTTTGATAGTGATTCAGTTTCACACAGATCCATTAATAGCAATGTAATTGGAAGAAGAAGAAAAAAAGTGATATGAATAAAATTTTGGTTTTCAAAGAATAATATATAATGGCCAATAAATTGCCTTTCTTCAAACATGGAGATTGTAGAGGAATTATCAAAGAAATAGTTAACCTTCTAGTGGTACTTCATGGAATTGAAGGTAAAGTAAATAGGTGTCGGGTATATTAGATAGGAATAGGATGAAACATAGAAGAGTGGTTACTAATAATAGCGACTCTCATTTAATAATTTGTGGCAGTTCACAAACAGGTTATATTTATTGTATATACAACATCAAAATCATAGTATCAACATGTCTTTTAATACTAAACATCGATAACAAGGTCAGCTATGACTCACCCATATCCATGAGAGAGATATAAGCCAAAGGTGGGAGGTTTTTGAAAAGATTTGTCGACCTTTTCAGCCACTTCTACAATTTAAAGTAGTACTTTGATACCAGCCAGATTCATGAAGAGATGGTACTTTCTAGTCAGATGCATCACAAGTGACTTATGGCACTACTTCTTGGATTCAAACAAACTTTAAGTAACATCATCAGTTGAGTGGGAAGACCTTCTCTGCATGCCCTTGCTATGATTAAAAGTTAAATACAATAGCCAGGCCCAGAACTAGCACTTGCAATTTAATTTTATGTAAGTAGGTTTCTAAGAAAAGAGTTTAATCTATACTACTTATAAAAGGGAATACCCATGTCAAACTTTTAATTTCCTATTTTGCCCTTTTAAATTTTAATAATTCGCAATTATAGCATTGATTATAATTAATCCTTAAATAATTATCCATAACTCTTTATTAAATGCACCTCCTACTCTCCCTAAGAATATTTGATCAAGAATAGAATCATTATCAATATACTATCTGGTCAAGAATATTTGCTCAAGACTATGAATTTCTTCTATCTAAGATGTAGAGTCTAGACTTTTAAAATTCAATTTGAATCAATGCATAAAGTATGAACCAAATTAACTAACAAACAACCATTTTTATTTTTATATAACTTCTCTTTCATCTCTTGAGTGTAAATTAGCTCATACATTTTCTTCCACTCACTATAATACCAACTAAGTCAAAACCATACAATTACAAAAGAAAAGCTCAACTAGAACTCCACTTGGATTAGAATAGAAAATTTAACAGAGCACAAGATGTCGACTTCTTTCGAGCACGTGTTAGCATGGGATGTTCCTCTATAATTCAACTAGAAATTTGAAAATATGTTTCGAAACTTGAGTATTGTAGAAATGAATCAATGGTACAATTTAAATTGGTACAATCAATTTGGTGATTAGTTTTCTTTTTGGAGACATTGGGATCACTCAAATTTCGAAATGTATTATAAAAAGACAAAATAAGCAAATGTATCTTAAAATCTCATTAGATTAAATACTTTTAAAATTCAACCCCCTAAACGTATTTCACGGTATAATTTGAAAACACATTGTATCAAAAAAGTCTATGATGTTAATATCATGAAGTAGGGGCATGATTAGGAATGCATTAGGCTAATTGTATTATCCTTTTGATGTTACAGTGAAAAGTACAAAATATACTTTCTTACCATGATTTCAGAAAAAAATATTAAATAAATACTACAACCAGCATATTTACATACATCCAAAATAAATGTTATATTTTTATTATAAATAAACCCTAATTACTCAAAATAAATGTTATATTTTTATTATAAATAAACCCTAATTACTAAAGTGATATCTTCTTAAGCTTTGGCTTTTTTACCTTCTAATTAATTATTATAAATAAACCCTAATTACTAAAGTGATATCTTCTTAAGCTTTGGCTTTTTTACCTTCTAATTAATTATTCATTTATATGTTACAATTTTTTTCATTTATTTCTCTTTTCCTCTCCTTCCAACCATCTGACTTATATTTCTGAGAAACGAAGTGCTTAGGATGACATTAAAGATGGAATAGATTTCGATGGAAATACTATCGCAATGATTTAGTGCCAACTTGTGAACTAGAGATTGATAAAATGCATATGAATGACATAATCAATCTCTCTTGTAATTGTCACGAAACTTCAACAAGTGACAAGTTCCTTCGCATAATATATCTCCATCATTCAAACATGTCAATTTTAGTTTTAAGTTTAAAAAATTTATTTGGGAAAGCTATTATTAATTAGCATTTCCTTAAATAGCTTGAACCTTAGTGTAAATGTCTCACATCTCTAATATTAGATCATCTTTTAATATTGCTATTGTGTTTACAGAATAATTTTGTTCATGCATAGGGTTATAATTTTTTTCACTCTATTAATCCACGTTAGGTATCTGTTATTCAGTAAATTTGTCCCTCTATGTTTGTATGTTTTGTTTCAGCTTTAAATGTTAATGATTAATATAGATTTTGATAAGGTAATTAAATTTGAAACATGATATGAATTGGTTTCTTTTTTTGTCTCATTACCCTATAAGTTCAGGTTTTCCAGCTATTGGCCAATCTAATTATTTAAGAATCCTAGCACATAAATCTCTTATTACATCATTTATGTGGGTTTCATGAATATTGGTAAAATCTAAACCAGCTTAATTACATGAATATTGGTAAAATCTAAATCATCGATTCACTTAATCATTTTACGGTCCACATTTAAACTTTTTAATACTGAACAAGTATACCCACGTGCAACGCATGTGCGCTTTACTAGTGCTATTATAAAAGTGTGTTGCATGTTAAAACATTTTCTTCCAAAATTACCCTCCAAATATATCCATACATACATAAGTAAACACATATATATACATAAATTCACATACATACACATATAAATTCACATACATATTTATTCATTCAATATGATAGAATAATATAAAATTTTAATATGACATAACCCTCCTATTAATTATCCATGATGAGTATTAACTTCTATTTTTTTATAATCCCCAATATTAAACCTATATTAATTCCATCAAGTTATTCACATCCAATAATCATAACTTCTTTCTCATTTACATACTATCATCAATATATTTTATATATTTTGTAATGCACGTAAAGAAAGTCAATAATATAAGCAATGGCGTATCATAGTTTATTGATTAATCATTCTTATATAAACCACCATTTCCTAATTCATTCCTTATAACCCCACCCATTACAAATCTTACAACCTTTTCTTATATTTGGCCTCTCCTCTACCTCTATATCCTTTTTCTCGATATGGTATATCATCATTTCTCTTCAAACTCCTCCCCGTTTTTGGCGAGCACATGCATTGATGCTAAGAGGAACTAAGTTGATCACTCCGATGTGCAACTCGAGAGGCTCAACATATACTAAAACGAGGCTGATGGAGAACAATACATTGAGATACAGTGAAATTCAACTAGATGATCATCGTTTAAAGATAGAGATTGTAAGAATTTAAGTCAATTTACGGTGTAATTTTATGAATTTAGTAGTTGTTATAAGGGATTTTCTTTGTGTATGTGTGAAGGTTCATAATCAATTACTTGGGTTTTGAGTGAAAGAGAGATTATTCTTGTGTGAAGAGGAATTGCCGTTTTAGTATTTAGGAAATAGCTAAGCTCTAAATTTTCTTATTTATGTGTGTCTTTTAATCTTATATGATCATTCAATTTATTTTGCTTTACGTGTTGTGACAAATCACTTTGAAAAGGTTTATTTGCCTTATAATTTATTTATTAATATTACATAAATAGTAATGAATTATATATTGTTCTAAATTAAATTAAATTATTAAAAATATTAATATATAATTAAAATATATTTTAATATTAGCTCTTCAATGGCCATGGAGGCTGCCTGCAGATGACATCTTGGGACGAAATGACTATAAGATCATTGTAAACTTCTTGGGGTTTTTTTATTTTGAATTCTTTTACAGATTAATGATTGATGTATATTTCTAATCCAATTACGTCTATTATCATCAAGAAGCAAGGAGTATCGGTTACTATTCTGGTTTCTTAAAGATAAAGTGAGAGGAGTTTTATTATTTCTAATAAAACTAATATTTGTAATATAATAAACTTTCTCTAATAAAATAATTAATAATTTTAGTGGATATTAGTTTTTAGTTTAACAATTAAATATTATTATTGAAATTATTATTCAAATAAAACTATTATTAAATATTAGTTTATTAATATTGATTTCGTTAAATTATTTGTTTAATTAAGTTTAATCATTAGTTTTATTAAATACTATTTCTAATGAACATTAGCAATTAATTTTCCAGGTCAACATAAAAATGACCATGGACTATTTCATTAGTATAGTCACGTTAGTATACTAATAAATACCACTTCTTTTTGCTAGTCAATAAATAATTTTATTTCACTAAACCAAATTTTCACATCACATCATGGGCCAAATATAACAAAAAGTCCCCTATAACAACTACAATAGTAGAATCATAAAGTCTGAACCTAGAAAGAGTATCATTACTATAGTAACATATTACTGTAGTAACATATACATTAATTTAATAAATTTAATCATTATTTTTTATTGAATATTACCTCTAACGAAAATTACTATACTAATTTAAGTAGTGTCATTAGTATTGCAACGTTATAGCAATTGAAACAATCAGTATAGCGACTGTAACATTACTATATTCTTGAACAATACTTCATTAGTAATACGGACAATTACTGTAACAACGTGGATATAAATTTTAAGGATCTATGTTACTTATAAATTGAATGCTTATAAAAGCTCATGCCATGTGTTACATCTAATTAACGTGTTAGAAGGGTATACACATATAAGGCAAACAACACAAATATATACAAAATCATAGAAGAATACATGCAACATAGAAAGACAGGTAATCGATGTTAGAAGGCTATATATAGCAAATAATATAAGTAGATACAAAAGCATGGAAAAATACATACAAAATACAAGGATGAAAAAGTAGGGTAAATTTCACAAAACAACTTTGGTCATGTTTTAGATAAACCCTGTAAATCTTAGTTAGAGATAAATGCACATCACAAACATCTTAAAGTGCAAAGGCAACCCATGAGAAAATGAAGATCAGAGAAAGCTTAAACCCTATGTATTAATGTTACTAAAATTGTATTTATTTATCTTGTGAAGTAGAGCTAAGAGATTAGTTAACCTTTAATCATAACATTTATTTAAGGGAATATGAGGAACTAATAGTCAATTTACCACATTGTTGAGAAGGAAACAAATTTTATATTCATTGAAGAATAATATTTAGACATGAAACTTTCATAAAATATGAATATGATTTTTGTTCTTATTTATCATGCGGTTTTTTCTCCTTCCTTTTAGTACATCTTTCAAATCCATTTTAGAGGCACGTTTAAGAATCAGTCCATACGTTCTTATGTGTGTAATTTCTAATGATAAGGTTTTGTTCTTGATGATGTGGATTGTAGTGTAGAGAAAAAAGGAAAAGAAAAAATGCTAAGGTTCTCTCTGTAGTGTTTTAACTGTAAAATAAGGATATCTTACGCATTAATTTAATAAAACATACCATTATATTCAGTATTAAGATTTGACAATAAATGCATATGAGTGGACTCTCGCATCTAATCTTAATTTACAAAGAAATATAGGCTACACCCATTTATAAATTAAAGAGAAAAAATTATAGGTTAGCTCCTTAAAAGTTTACAAAATTTATTTTGAAGTCCAATTTAAGAAAAAAGGATTTTCAAGAAATTTTAGGTTAACCCTCTAAATCTCACAAAATTTAAATTGAAGTTTGAAAACTGGAGTTTAAGAAAAACAATTATTGAGAAATTTATCCTAAAAATGGCCTCACGTGCAATGCACATGGAAAAACAATTTTTGAGAAATTTATCCTGAAAATAGCCTCACGTGCACCATACTAGTTCTATGAAAAAGATGCCTTTATCCCATAAAAGAAAAATCCACAAAAAGAAAAAAAAACTAACCTGTACACGAGCCTCTCAATGAAATCCTCCTCTTTCATCCGTAGAAGAGACATTCTAGTCTCCTCACTCAAAGCAGACCAGAAATCAACTAGTGTATCACAAGAAAGCCTGGCAGTATGCAAAGCACAAGTTTCTCTAGTCCCATGCCCTCTACCAAAATTATTCATCGCTTGGCTTATCCAGCCACGTCCACTCCCACCACATGCATCGGGGTATAGCAATTCACGTTCATGTTCCCTTGCTCGGGCACTATCAAAAACCTAAACATGGGCAGCACCAAGTCATCTATAAGTAAGACAGTGTTATGACCTAATATCTTTTCTTTAAACATCATAGGTGTCAAATGACCTAATATTTTATAGTTCTAGCATCCACCATGTTTGATGAGTTGCCAAAGGCAGGCTCTTTGTTCAATCAAACCCAAATTGAAAAGTTACATCTCAATGTGCAAGAACAAAAATGGGAGAATGATTGGGGTCTATCAGCTTACATTTTGAAGCGCTCTTAGTGACCTCGCATTGATAAAGCAATCTAGAAGGGTTAGTATTCCATCCCTGGTTGCTACTAAACCTCCCCATGGGTGCACTGAGGGGTCCTGTATGTCATCTGACTCACAGTCAATGTGGGCCTTTAAGGCAGTCCCTGCTCTATTGGTTAGGTGATAGTAAGCACCCTCTGGTTGCAATGATTTCCCATACATTACAATCTGAGTGAAGCCTTCAAGTAGTAACCCATTGCATCTTGAACAATAGAGGTTCTTGCGAGCTTGCTCAAAAAGACCATGTTTGTCAACTCTCAAGAGCTGTTGTCTCGCTTGGAGAGGCAACTCGTTCCAGAACTAATTTCAAGCAATACACAATTAGTTTATTGCACACTCAAGGAGAAAGAATGAGAACAGGAAGGAGGAAAACAAAGACACAACTTACAACAAGAACTAACTATATTGACTAGTTTCTAACCCGTTTGCAATTAAAATTACACTACAGTTTCTCCTTCAAGACTCAACAATTGCAAACCTACTATTTTTTTAGCCGAGAGACGACCAGGAATATTCTCATCATTAATCTGAAACTAAATGGAAGAATAGGGTCCACCAACAACTACATTTTTATTTTATTTTCTGTGACATTCTAATAGAACCAACTTCAATTCCCTTAAATCATATTGAAATTAGGAATTCGTCTAGTAATCTTAATTAATATTACTTACTGTATAGCTTGACCACAAATTATGCACTTAATATTTTCGCATAAAAGCTAATTGTAATTTGCATGTCGTTTAGAAATCAAACTGATAATTAAGCAAATTTATTATTAAAAAAATGCACCCTAATACTGAGCTAAAAACTTAATGGTGATTAGTCTGGCGTTGGCCTTTAAATCTCCTAAATATCTGTGTCGAAAATTTTCTGCTTAAATTGGAACCTGAGTAAAACAAGAAACAATCTCGATCAAAACTCCATCGAGAAATCTGATTAAAATCACCAAAAAAAAGACAAAATTAGATCTAGCAATCAAGTGGTCAGTAATTCGATAAAAGCAGATCGAAACCTTCTGAAGCTGATCGAAGGTGATTTCATCGCGTTTCTTCGACCAAATCGCACTCGATCCCGCCGCCGCCGTCGGCGGCGATGTCTCCGGAACGTGAGCACTCAACAAACCTGGCATCTTCTCGAATCCGATTCGATCTCGATCAACTGCACACCCCCGACGATCGATCCTCCATCAACCGGCGTTATCGGATCTGAATCCGATCTGAATCCGATCCGAATCGCGATCGGAGCTCAGGCGGCGATCGATCGGAGGTTTGGGGGATTTCTGAGGGGGTGGTCGAGGTTTTGCTCTCTCGTTCAGATTTGGCGTCTCTTTTGTATCGTCATTGCTCTAGAGAGAGAGAGAGAGAGAGAGAGAAACGGAAGAGGTTTTATTTACAAGAAAACCCCGGTAATCTGAGCGTGGGCTCGTCGTTAACCTCGACCCGTAAAAAGGCGCTCAACTTTTACAAGTGCCGAAATGCAATTATTAGTTTTGACCTGTTGGTATTTACAAATTCGCGGTAACTTTTGTCCCGCGAGTAGATAAGGCGGGTGAGTTAAACATTTCCGTCACGTGGCAGTGGTTGATTGCCTATTGGTCGGCGTTTGGCACGTGATTGTGGATCTGATGAGTAAAAACAAGGTTATTTTACAGTCCCCTACGCTTTCAATAATCTTATATTAATCCCTCAAATCTATGAAATTGCTTATTAATACCTTAGATTCTAGGGTTATTGCTATTGTGGCCCCTCGATGACCCAAATACCCTAGGGTGATGTTTTTAAGGGTTATTCCAAAGTTGGCACTCTAGAGTTTACATATTTTTAAACTTTATTGTCCCAAAACTTTATTTACACTTTGATATCCTAAAGTTTACATATTTTTTGACTTGGTACCTCAATCTTTTTTGGCAGTTTGTACTAGAGCTGAGCATGGTTCGGTCCAAACCGAAAAAACCAACTGAACCGACCCGAACTGACCCGAAAAAAACGGTTTTATGAGTAGGGCGGTTCGGGTCGGTTTAAAAACTTTTCAACCCGAACCGACCGAATATAGTGCAATACTACCCATACTGATCTCAAACCCTACCCGACCCGTCCCCAAAGAGTCAAAGACTCAAACTCTAAACTCATTTTCTGGATCATTATGGGTTGAAAACAATATCATTATATCAGTATTTAATGCTTCATAATCTCCTACTTTGTTGATATTTTTTCTTTAACACAGTTTGTTGTTTGATAAGAAGTTTGATGAAGTTAGAACTGAACAAACCGAACCGAACCGCACCGAACCGACTTGCAACAGTTCAGTTCGGTTGTTCAAATTTTGATAAAAACCGAACCAAACCGACCGTTGCACACCCCTACTTTGTACTCTTAAGTTTTTACATTTTTTAACTTTCACGCCCCAAATATTCCACAACTTCGATATCTTAAAGTTACATAGTTTTTAACTTTGATACCCTAAAGTTTGGGATGTCAGAGTGCCAACAATAAAAATTTAGGGTATCATAGTTCAAAGATATCAAACTTATTGTAATATATAATGTGCGTGTGTGTGTATCAGAAAAAAACCTTGAAGGTATCAGAGTTTAAAATAGGGGGGTAAACTTTAGGGTGTCAAAAGTATCAAAAAACTTTAGGATATTAAAGTTAATAGAGTGTGAACTTTAGAGTATCAAAGTGCAAATAATTGTTCCTTTGAACAATAAGTTTTTTAAGTGAGAAATCATAAATAAGAGGTAGTTTGGTCATTAGGGAACCAATTTGCAAAAGCCCTTAGGATTTGAGGGACTAAAGAACAATTATTGAGACTTAAATTACTAATATGAAATTGTTGAAGATTTGATGGACTTATACTGAAGAACGTAAAAAAACTATTTTGCACCCTAAATTCCACATTTATTACGGTTAGCAGATTTACTATTTATTGTATTACAGATTCACTGGTGGGCTCCCCTAGAGCCCAGGTTGTAAGGGTGAATTTGTCTTGTTTGGATTGAGGAGAATGAGGGTGAAGGGAAGTTAGGGGAACCATTCACCTCATTTCATCTTGTTTGAGAACACTTAGGAGGTGAAGTTAATTCACCCTAGTTCCCCTTGGTTCACCCCCTAATAGTATAAAAATTGTTACCCCTCAAATTGGGGTGTAACCAAGGGGAAGGGAATTCTCTTCCCTTCCCTTCTCTTCCCTTCACTCAGTTTCCCTTAACTTCCCTTCACCCCTTACAAATCCAAACAGGCCCTCAATCTTGAGGGTTAGACATATTATAGCGAAACTTTAGGGGAGTGCATGTGCAAGAAAAGAAAATCATTTAATCGGATGACGTTATTATCTATCAATGATGTTGTCATTTGTTCATAGAGAAAATTTGTAGAGAGAGGAATAAATTTATAAAAACGTGGATGTTGAAATTGGCACCTTCATTACAAATAATTAATCGCTGAAAAAATTTTGTTTACATAAGGGGGTAATTTCTATGATAAAGAATATTTCTAAATATATCTAGCCAGTATACAATTCATTAAATTTTAAAATATGAATTTAAGCCAGGCTTGAATTCAAGTTGCAAAGAGTCATGGTTTCTAAATTCTAATAATAATTGTATTCACTTACCAAAAAATGAAACCATTTATGATTTATTGGTACAACTGTATGGTTTTACTTTTACATCTTAAAATACATGTGCTTTGTATATCTCGGTTTGGACCCCCCCCCCCCCCACCCCCACTCGCACACACACAAAAAAAAAAACATTTCGCAGTGCTAAATATCCTTTTTAGACTATCCTTTTTAGAGAATGCCCATGTCAAAACTTTTGACTATCTTTTTTACCCTCTCAATTTTTTATAACTCAAAATTATACCATTAATTATAAAAGTAATGATCCATAACCTCTCACTAACTATTTGGTCATTCACTAGAATATATTAACAATTTATAATGATAACAAAATTCATGAATATATGATAATTTATTATGAATAATTATTAATTATATAAAATAGTAAAAGTCATTCATTTAATAAATTATTCCACATAACTATATTTATTAATAATAGTATAAATAGGGGTTATTTCTTTATGTTGTAAAGAATATTACCTTATTCGATAATTAATATCATCTACTAATAATTTATATTAATAATAAAAATAATAAATATATTATAAATTATTATAAAATAATTATTAATTGTAATGAAATACTAATTTTTTTATTTAATAAAATATTATACATAATTATAATTATTGATAATTGTATAAATAGGGATTGATTTTTTATATTATAACAATTACTACCCTTTTAGATATTATAATATCGTCTTAGTCATAAAAATTGGACATTATGAATTAAAAATACTTTTGCTTAGGAAAATTACTTTATATAAAAATATTGGATCTTTGAATTTTATGAGTCATGCACTTTTTGTTGGAAAGTAAATGTTTCATATATTTCAAGGATCCAATATTTTAATAGAGAGTACTATTTCTAAATGATAGTCTTTTTAATTTATACCATCTAATTTTTTATTACTAAGACGATATTAATTATCAAATAAGATAATATTCTTTAAATTTTAATATTAAAAATTATTGCCATTATTTAATATATATTGTAATAAAATATGTACATGACATAAATATTTAATAATTTAGATGGCTTAATTATAACAATAGTGTTACTTAAACTAATGATTATATTATTATTTAATCATTATACTCCTAAATAAATTGTTTAATAATATAATAATAGAAAATTTTAAATAACTATTAAATGTATGTTAATAATAGTATAAATACTAATATTAGTATAAGTTAAAAAAATTTAATCGTAGTGTAATAAAAAAATTTAATGGTTATATATAATTTATTAAATAATATAATATTAAATACAACAACATGTCCATGTGCATTATACTAATATTAGTAACCGTAGCACCAGTAAAAGAGGATGCATATTCTTGGTTATTACTTTATCTCATGCGTTTGGTTTTTTTAATTCTATTTCACTTTCAACCTTGTTATAAATCCCTTAAAAGATCGTAAAATATACGTTCTCTGAATTTGTTAATGTTTAGTGTGTATCTGTATTTGTTCTGTAAACTTGCACTTTTGCTCGTAATATACGATAAAAGATCTAATATAACTTATGTAACATTGAAGTTAATCTTTACAACAAGATGTCTTGTATGCGTTTATTTCATAGTATATATTGCACATATCGGAGCAACATGGTATGTATATTTTCATTATCATATCTTTTGCTTGTAAGTAAAAGTATGTGCACTCTTTTTCTGTAAGGGGGTGTTAGTCAATTAGGACATTTTCATACAAAATGGGATAATTGTTAAAGTGGAATAATTTTTCGCTAGTGGGATATTTTAGTGGGATAAATAGAAAAAATTTTGTGAAGCGGAATATTTTGATAAAATAACGTGAGATAAATTTTAATAATCATGAAATATATATTTATGCATTTTGAATATATAAATACTACTTATGTTTTTAAACTTACTATTATTGATTGATAATTGCTTACAAAAATATTCTTTACTATTAATTGAATAACTTTTGGTTAGACTATAAGATATTGACAATTATTATTATAAATAATGGTCTAATGATGATGATAACCATAGTAGGAAAGAAGTAAAGAAAAAAAATATAAAAAAATAACAAAATAAATATGAGTTCTAGTTTTTTACCACTTAGTTCCAAGCTAAAACTTAGAATAATTTGAGAGACTAGAACTCTCATTTTTGTATAGAAAAATAAAAAAGTGGGATAATTTTATACCATTATCCTACTTTTAGTTTTGTTAGAGTTCTACTTGACTAACACTGCAAAATTCTGTTTTTGTTTTAGTTCTATGTGACTAACACCTTAAAAATTTATCCCACAGATTATCCCAGTTCCAATTTTAAGTTCTAGGTGACTAACCCCCTCTAATTGAATTTGGTTCATCGTATGATCAAGTGATGTGGGTTGGGCGATCTTATGCCTTACGGTCATGTTCGTATTATAAACTTATTTTATCTTGGAATTAATAACTCGCAAAAGTTCTCATGATATTATAATCTACGTGATTTTATAATGAGTTTTTTTAATTATTTGTTTGGAAATTTCAAACCTATAAACACATTAAAAAGCTACAAATAACACAAACAACTCCTGAAAATTTATAAATTTGCAATAAATACTCTAAATTTTTTTTAAATTACAAAATAAAACCATCAAAATTATAAAATTTATAAAAATCCTAATAATTTTCAACCTAACGGTACATTAAAAATATAGGAATTACAAATATCTCCTACATAATTTATAACTAATAGTAAACAATCCTTAAAGTTTTAAAAAATACAAACAAACTCTAAAAATTCAAATTTT